TAAAAATGTGGAGTCTTGGATGTTTGGAATTTTATCCCTTGATGTCCTAAGGCACCTCTTGGATAAGCACTTTTGCTCATATAAAAATTTCCTGAAAATGGCTATTATAATTTTATATTATCCTTAGTGAAATTATGTCATATAAAAAGATAATAAGTGTAAGAATGTGGGTTCTAAAATAAATGTAAATACATGTAGGGAGCAGGAGTATGTATCAGAGGAGGAACGCTCTTAGGTTTCGACGGAGGCAAATCCCTCAGCGTCCAGGAACGGCCGGTTGGTAGCGTTGCTGTGTCCCCTGCCGCAGCCCCCAAGCCCAGGGGCTGGGCTGTCTCCAGCTGCAAACCCGACTAATCTGCAGTTCCTCATAGGCAATCAGGTTTGGGGAGATTTCACAGACAAAAGGCAGATTGAGAAAAGTACTCTTAAGATTTTGCTAAATGACCTGAGGCAAAGTTTTTCTATAGAATTTTCCACAGCTCAGAAGAAAACTTCTGAACTTGTCCGTCCTCAAGGTCAGTGTGAGGAATGGATTTATGTGGCTTATGCCCATTCCCTTCCTGTGAACTTTTCTTTTATAAAGAGATACAGCAAATGATGACAGGGATAGAGGGAAATAGTGTTGTTAGAGATAAAACTGATTTCCACTGAGGATAAGTTTTTCAGATCTGATCAGATAATCAAAAGATTCCTAAAATGGGCTCCTTCTTCATGGAAGACAAAATAAACTCAGTATAGGGGGAGCTTCAGTTAAAAGAAACCAGAGGTCAAACTCAATGTGAAACTTACATCGTCGTCACCACAGTCAGAAACCAACAGCTCCTGGCCCAGCAGGAGGCTTACGGACCACAAGGCGCTTCTGCTTTTTGACTTGAGGCCTTGGATCATTGCCGAGAGAAGCTCTTGGCTAGATCTTTATGGGTCTCCACGGTTGGCGAATGCTGGCGAGTCTGTGGTTACTGCACACGGATGAGAAGTGGCAGTGGTGTGCTCGAGCCGGCTCCATCAGCCTGGGAAAGTTGACTCTGAGCATCTCTTTCCCATTCCACGTTCCGTGTTCAGTGAAGTCACAGTAGTAGCTTGAAGCCAGTCATAGCAGGACTATTTATACAACAGAAGCCATCAGATTCTACAAATCACAGGTATTTTCCCTCCAGAGAGCCAGTTTACCTTAGTAGCATCTTGGGGTCTGGGGGCAAAGTTGGGCTGTTTATTGGAGTTTGTTTTAAGGCAAGTCTTTTAATGTGGGGGCTTGATTAGAACTGGGTGAGGATCATGATATGAGAGTTTAGAGGTGGTTTTGAAGCAAGGGTTTGAAAGAGTCTTGGAGAGGATGAAACAGCTGTTTGATGCTATCCACTGGAAAGTCAAAAGGTTTGATGTTCATTAAATGAGTTTTTCAGTACGTTCCTGAGACGAAATTACTTTCAACTTTTATCTTTATGAGCAAGAATTTCCTGGAATAATAAAGTCATGTTGATGAAGACAGTCGACTAGGAAAGTCATATTAATATATACAGTAAGCTATGTGGATGATTTCAGTTCTCATATATAATACTTGAGCGTTCAAATTATATAAGAATTGAGACTTGGTTCCCATGGAATTATAACAGTAAAAAAGAATTAAAGCTCACAGGAATTGTTCACTTGAAATCATTCAGTTTCAACTTTCATAAAAAGAAATAAATTCTGTCGGTATATCCTAATGGTGTATGTCTTGTCTTTACAGAACATTTAGACAGCTTTTAATGCTATTCCATCACATGATAAGAATTTATGTTGCATTTGTATAGCTGGGGAATTAAACACATGTTGCCTAAGAAGTTTCTTTTCAGTGTCTTTAAAAAATAGAATTATTGAGCAACTTTATACTTCCAGTCATTTGCCTCTGTAAGACAACAATGTAAGCGGACTACTTAGAGTATATACCATATCTGACATGAAGATTTGGTGTGTTTATTTGTTGTATTATAATTTCAACTATTAAATACCATTCATTTTTATATTATTTCTTTTCTTAAGTAGAGTGATAGGGTCAAAAGTCTACAGAGGTTCAGAAATGAATTAGTTGGGAGCAGAAAGAATACATTTTTTAAAATTTAAAAATACAAAGAAGAATGTTTAAATCAGAATTGGAAAGCACGGAAGGCATCAGTAATGCACAGGTTCATAAATCTGGCACAAGCTTGGAGTAGAGCTAGATGCTATGGTAGCCCCAACACCAGGAGGGCAACAGGGAGGGGCAAATGGAGCCCCAGTACCTCTAACCGCTTGTCTGAGTCTGGTGAGGCAGAACACTCACACAACAAATAGGGCAAGGCAGATTTATTACTCACAGAGAGGCAGCAAGAAGAAACAGAAGCCCAGGATCCATGGCAAGCCAGTCACCGAAGGCTCGGGAAAGCTGCTCAGGGAGGATGGAGTCTCCTCTGCGCAGGCCCCACATTGTGAGGCAACTGAGGGAACCCAACAGCACTCCGCCCTGAGTTTGTATGCCCTGGGCACCACTCGGATTGCTGAGTTCAAGCATTGCAGAACATCCTGTGTGAGGAAGGGGGAGGACATAGTCTGGGTTGTTCCAGATACTTTCTCCTTATCTCAAGATGTCCCATTCTTGGACATTGCAAGAATTGCAAGTGAGGGGGAAAGGTCTGGGTCAGCCAACGCCATCTGGGGATCTGTCTTCCCACAACTATCCTTCCCAGTTTAATCCCTCCTTTCAATCCTGCCTTATTTTGAATGTGTTCAGCCAGTCTTCTATTGCAGAGTTATTCAATGTACAATCATTGCACCACAGACTATTGTGATGGTCTGTGGCTGTTTTTCATCCTCGCTGAACTGTACTTTATAGGTCCACAGCAAGATGGGGAGCTTGCACCGGAATATAAATCAACACACTACTTCCTTCATTGAGAAAGTCTTGCTATGAAAAATAAAGTTAGCTGAATTAAACAGTGTGTTTAAGTGATAGAGTTGTTTTACGTCGTGGCACAAAATTTTTATCTTGTTCCAGATTCATAATAAACAATTGAACCAACTAGTTGCCATATGCCATGGAAACTAGCATATATATGCATATATATGCACTGCGTCACATAACATGATTTCTAGACCTGTTCTAATCATTCTTCTCTAGAAAAGCCTCTAGAATACAACCAACCTTTCCAGAAATGTTTGCTACAAATACAGGTCTGATATTCTCTGAGATGTTGTAATAATCAGAGGGAGGTTTGGATGTTTGTCACTAGCATATTAACTGGATTTAATAAGTATTTCATGAACATTTTCATTTTTAAAAATTTTCTATAGCTGTAATTAATGTATGTTTTCTTTTTCTATTGGAAACCAAAAAAGAACCAGGATATTATGAGTATCTTTAGAGGAACATTCAGTATCTCTGCTAAATCCCATTAAAAGGATGAATTTCTATGTCACAGGATGGGAAGACAAGGGAAAAATACATCTCAAGCACTAATGCCTCCTTGGTCATTTTATTGTGTGACTAAGGAACCCATCTGACAGCTATATGTGGGCACTGTCATTTGTTTAGCCTTAAACTCTTACTAGTACTAAAAATCATATGTCACAGGTGACATTTAAGCCATTTGGAACCCTTAAATGGAAAGCTAGAAGAAGGCCTCTGACAAGACACCAAGCAGGCTTTTCCTGAAGGGATTTAGAATGTGAAAGTGAGTGAATCACCCACAAAACACAATGTCCACCAGAGGCATTGTATGAGAATGAAGATGCCCACAAAGTCTTTGATTCTCCTCCCACTGTGAAGTGGAATTTTTGTTCTCTTCCTCTTGAATCTGAGTAGACTCTGATACTGCTCGACCAATGGAATATGACAGAGACATTATGGTAGTTTCCAGGTTCCAGCCTTAAGAGACTGGTAGTTTCTACTTCTTGTCTCTTGGAACACTCAGTCTCAGAAGCCAGCTGCCGAGCTGTGAGCATCCCACACGCACACATACGTGCTTCAAAGGATAGCCCTGGCGGAGCTCCCCGCCACGCACAAGCACCAGCTGCGGCATGTGACTGCGCCATTGTAGCCTAGTCACGCCTTTAGGTGGCTACAGCTTCAGACACTATCTGACTCCAGTTACAGTAAAGATCCCCAACCAGATCCGCGCAGCTGAGCTCAGTCAATGCATAGAACCATGAGACTTAATAATAAATTGTTGTTTTAACCCACTAAATTTGGGAATGGTTTGTTAAACATTAATTTAAAAATCAAATTGGAACATTAACCATTGTTAGCTGGTGCTGTTGTACTTGAAACAAAATTTGAAAATAGGTATAGGAAACAGATGGTGACATAAGATCTCCATAGATCTACCTTTTAAGCTGGAATGCAGCGATACTGAGGAGAGCTTACTGTACATTACACCTTTCAGCGTCATGTACAGACAGCATGAATCAAAGAAACCAAGAAAATAGGAAGCTCCAGATATTAATAGCACTTCATGTTTGAAGTTGATGAGATGCCACCATGTTTATGGCACTTTACTGTTTATTCCCCTGGGGAATATGAATAATTATTATCCTCGTTCTTTCTTTCTCCCCTTCTTGCCCCCTTCCTTTCTTCTCTCTGGCTCCAGTTTCCAAGTTGCTTTTGCCCCACTCCACTCAAGCTCAGCAGGAGCTGGTTTCTTGTTCATAATCTCCCTGTCCTGTCTATAGTACCTGACATACAAAGGGATGCTCGAGCAGGCATCCCTATGGAGAAGCCAGGTAAGTAATCTTGAAGGTGAGGGGTAACTTGGCAGAATTTCATCCACAGAAGCTCCCATGTGCTACCTTAATCGTCTTTGTTCTTCTGCCAGATCGGAAATAATCAGAGTGCAGTTGGCATCTTTTTTTAGGAACGGTATATTTTGTACATTGTTTAAAGCCATGAGAAAAAATATATGAGATGCATATATAAACCTTTGTTATACTCAAGGACAAAGCTTAAGTATTATTTAGAGTGGTTTACAACTCTGTTTTGTTTTCAGGTATTCCAAAGTTGATTACATCTGATATGGTTAAAGAAGGTGCTGCTGTAATTGATGTCGGTATCAACTATGTCCATGACCCAGTGACAGGAAAGACAAAATTAGTTGGAGATGTGGATTTTGAAGGTAATAAACCAAATATCTTTTGATGAGTGGAGAAAAAAAAGATTCTACCTTACATATTTTGATAGTAGAAAGAGAAACTTTCTATGTGATGGTGACATTATTAAATTATTAATCATTACCTCCTTCCTCTGAGGGAAAAAAGTTTAATCAAATTTGCATATTTCCTTTCTCCCTCCTTATCTCCGTCCCCTTCTCCCTTCCTTCCTTCTTCCCTTCCTTCCTTTTCTCCTTCCCTTTCTTTTAATTATACCATTAATATTTGGTTTGGGGATCAAATTTCTTATAGTACAGTTTTTAGTGAGAGAATAGAATTTCAGCTGGCCTTTTATAGTCCTGGGCATTATTTTGATTTGGGGGATGTTACCTTACTCTGCACTTTGCCACCTCTGCTCTATGCTCAGCCGTTCACTCTTAGAGCCAGAAGCCATCTTAGGGTGAGTTTGCTAACCCTAACCAGGTTTCAGATCTAGGCAGTTATCTGGATCTAGGCAGAACTGGGCCGTTATCTACACTTGTGTTTTACAGAGGATGAGGAAGAGGAGGTAGGCTAAAATTTCAATGGCCAATAGAGGATATAAGGTGGCCAATGTGTAGCAGTAAAGAAACAAATTCTAACCCAATGCCTTCTCTCTACAGATGAGGAAACTGAGCCCCAAGACAGATATATTTCTAGATGCCTGACTCCTAATCTAATTTTACTTCCAATATCTTTGTCAGATATTTACCTGCATTCAGGTTTTCAGTATAGCCTAGGAGTCTCAGATGTCTATGAAGGCATGAATAGAGTAACGTAAGTGGAGATGTTTTTATATTAGAAATATTTTATGTATAAAACTGATCATTCTGTCCAAGAAAAGCAGGGCCACATTAAGAACTTCATTAGTTATAGGTATGTCCTTCCAAACTGAAAGGAATACATGATGCAATTTTTTAAATAATTTAGATTTTAAATTTTCACTTGGAACCTGGTCATTAGCTGATGGTTTACCAAATCCTACCATGTTGGTCTAGCAATTTTAATGAATAAAATTGAAAATGTAGATCATCAAAAGTGTCCTAGAGTATTGGCCCCATACAAGTGAGATTCTAGGATACATTAAGGACAGACCCAGGTAAGTAATTTGAGCCTAGTGCTAAAAGAGAAAAAAAGAAAAACTTAAGGACACAGGTATGCACCAATATATTCTAGGGACAGAATGGTAAATAAGATCAAAGTAGAGATTTACCTTGTCAAAGAACACTCCACTGCCCTCATTGACTCTAATGCGTAGGGTCCCAGATCTGGATGGAACCTAGTCAAGAAGGGATGGCTCTCCACACGAACATGTGTGTGTGTGTGTGTGTGTGTGTGTGTGTGTGTGTTATGTAGGTCTGTATGTATACGTGTGTGTGTTGTGTGTACATGCTGAAATTCTTAGGACATGACCTCATTTCTTTTTTATCTTTCATGTTCAATCACTCAAGTCAGATATCAATGATTTATTTCAATTTCCAAACTTGAAAGAGTAAAGATGCATTTCATTTTAAAACCTGGTCTTATTTAATTTTTTGCACTGTCATTCTGTTTCTTGATACCATTATAGCTACCATGCATTTATTGCAAAATCCCCACACACTTATGATGCACCCAGATGGCACTGACAACATACGATAACCAGCTTGAGGCAAGAAGAGCCAGATGTTTGCAATTCACAACCGTGACTGTGCTTGTGGGGCAAACTTACCCAGCAGATCACCATATTTCATAAGACTCCTCTCAGAAAGTATTTTGCCGGCCTCAGATCATTTCCATGCCTTCTCATTTTTAACTAAGAATGTGTTTTGCTCATGAGAGTATTCTGAAAACATTTTAAAAATGAGCCTTATGGGGTGGGTATGTATGCTTAGTGGCACATACAGATATACACTTCATGTTGCACAGTGCTCAACTTGGTAATATCTATTAAATTAAAAAAAAAGGAAATGGCAAATAGAAGCAAAGATAAGATGAACAAGGAAGAGTATTGGTCTGGGAAACTGAAGAGATTAGAACTCGCACTGTTGCCTGATAGCTTTACAACCTCTCTGGCCATCAGTATTATTAGTTAAATGATTACATTTGTGGCCCCTCTCAGCTCTAACGTTTGGTGCATATCCTGGACATACAACAGAGAGTTACCAAATGATTGTGTAAAAACACAGACTTTCACAAGGAAGGTCAGAGTTTTCTGATCCTATCATAAAATATGCCCATATGATTGCTAGTATTTCTCTTGCTACCCTGCTGGTTCACGGAGCCAGAGCACTAGGGAAAACCTGGACTTGGTAGAGAAGACCTTGCCAACAAGGTCATGACTCAGCCACCCAGAGAAGCAGGCAGGTGATAGGTTTTGACATGTTGCTCTTCAGGTTGTTCATCAGGATTTAACCTGAGGTGAGGGATGTTCCCCCAACTAAGAGGGAGGAACTTTAACACAGGTTATGCCATAAAACTCATAGGTAGCATTTAGCTGCAAATTGCCACAGGGAAAGTGTGGCTGCTTTGTGAGTATCGGTGAAAGTTTCACCATAACTATAGCCAAGATAAGCATTTTGGATGTAGGTAAAATCAAATGTTGAAGTGCATTGTCCTTACAAAAATCTTTGTTTTATTAATAGAGGACACTGGGCCACCCATTAAATGTAGATTACGTTGATGGGAATGATGTATCAACATTAATGGGCAAAGTGTTTGTGATAAAAAGGATGATGATGTCCCAAAGGACATAAAACTTCACGTTAAAGAAATGTGCAGAGATATTTCATGACATTGAAAGGGCAAAGGAGAAAATGTCAGAAGCCGATCCAAACTTAGAAAGGAATCTGACAATTCGCGAAGGCATGGAAAAGATGCTTGCTCCTAAATCGTAAATCCCATGACCAGAAGAAGATGGCAAGTCCCATTCAAACTATTCTTGACAGAAATTTTACAAAGAAATAGAACACTTTAATTCTCAATATTGCTACTGTGTAAGATGACAGTGTA